AAAGGAATTGAGAGGGCCAGTTGCAGCGAGATTGATGAACTCATCATTTAATGCTTTCATCAGAATCTTGAACTGCTCGTCATGGTGTTCAAATCGGTTTCCCCACATGATGCTGCAGATCACATTGCAGACGCTCGTTGTGATCAGGGGCTACAAAAACAGAAATCATGACATTACTAATAGTCGCTTCACCTGTCTATTCTGGTTTCGGTAGAGGTACACCGACCTACCATAATTATGGCTAAGGCTTTCTATTTCCTTCTTTTCTCCTCCCCTTCTCTCTCTTTCTCTATATATATATATATATATACATGTGTGTGTGTGTGCTGCGTGCGTGCGTGCGTGCGTGCGTGCGTGCGTGCGTGTGTGTGTGTGTGTGTGTGTGTGTGTGTGTGTGTGTGTGTGTGTGTGTGTGTGTGTGTGTGTGTGTGTGTGTGTGTGTGTAGCGCGCGCGCGTGTGTATGCATGCGTGCTCGCGTGTGCGCGCGTGTGTGTGTATGCGCGTGTGCGCGTGCGTGCGTGCATGCGTGCGCCACGAATTAGACATTTACATTCATCGTCATTGAGCAAGCTGCATTGTGATAGATGGGCTAAAATGATGACACCTACTAACACTACTACATGTACCGAATAAAAGCAAACATCATCACTCTCTATGCCGTCCATGAAGTTATAATGTGCAATGTCAGTACTGCATATGCAATAAAACAGATGTTATATTGTTTGAATATAGAGAAATGTGATATGCATGTGATAGCGAAGCAATGATATGCATAGGTTAAATCAAAGTTATTCAAATTCAATATGCAAGGACGGTCTGACTTTTCTCATTAACAATACCCATTTGCATACTTGGAAGTCAAATGTCTCCCCATTTGTAGATTTTATCGCAACCAGAAGTATGGAGATTTCCTCCTTGACCCTTGACTCCAGGCTGACTTTGCCCATGCCGAATTCTCGCAGTTTTGCAAGTGTAAACTTGCGCTGTTCTTTCCAGATCTTTCCCGTAGACGACAGAAGCCCTTGTATAAAGATTTCTTTCATTGAATGTGTATTTTAAGTTATATTTTGCACATGCAACAATTATATATTATATGCGCAGGCACGCCCTCATGCACACATGCACACACACACACACACACACACACACACACACACACACACACACACACACACACACACACACACACACACACACACACACACACACACACACACACACACACACACACACACACACACACACACACACACACACACACAC